CCTGTCGTTCTGAGTGTTATGGACAGGCAGAACTTCAGAGAATGACAGTGTGGAAGCAAGCTGCCGTATATCATTGGCAAAAACACTAAAAAACACCACCACTAGCCTCAGTGCCTCTCTCCACAACACCACTAGCCTCAGTGCCCCTCTCCACAACACCACTAGCCTCAGTGCCCCTCTCCACACCACTAGCCTCAATGCCCCTCTCCACAACACCACTAGCCTCAGTGCCTCTCTCCACGACACCATATCACTCTGAAAGTGCAGAAAATGAATTATGTAGAGCAACAGACTGTGCAATATGCCTGTTATCCACAACTCTAAGTCTACCAGATCCTACAGTAATCCATCTGCCATTCCTAGTATGTCTCTGCGGCAGTGGCTTTGCAGCAGTTCCTGTCTGAGTTTGTTCACCAGATAATTTACAAATCTCAGACTTCAAAAATACAATCTCCTGCCGCAAGATAGAGAACTGTCTACAGATTAGACAACAACCGAATCTCCAAAAAGTGGAACGTGAAACAAATGCATAGCAACTATTACACTGAACTAAGTCTGCCATTCCAATGAGGAGAATAATATAAATCAAACAAATCTTAACTTTTTATTTATCCTCCTGAATACCTCAGATTACCTCCAGGTTATCTCCAGAATATCTCCAACCACACACTTAGAAGCAAGACTCTCCAGAATATCTCCAACCACACACTTAGAAGCAGCAATCTCCAGAATATCTCCAACCACTCACTTAGAAGCAGCACTCTTCAGAATATCTCCATGTAACGGATCACCTGGCACCCCGACTGGGCACCTCCGTTGAAGGATGCTCCTAGCGCTCCCTGAGGACTCCAAGCACTGCAGCAGACACCACAACCACCGAACCGGAGAAGCATATGAATTCTCTCAAGCATATTAAAGTTGTATACAGCCGAATAGGAAAAACCATGTGTGGCGAAACCGGCCTCGCCACGTGTCCTTGGAGGGGGCTGCTTGCCCGCCTCTTGCCTTTGGACTATGGACCAGACTTTATGTGAATGTGTTAACCCAGATAGCTATGCCATGGAGCCCATTCGTGTAGTTAAAGACTTCGGCTCCATGGCAATTGAACTGTGTGAATAGGATCTGAGCGCTATTCGGTAGTTTTGTGCGCTCAGATCCCAGCTATCTGGGGATATGTGAAATGTCTGTGTCTTATGTGTAAAAAGTGACTTTATGTATTTTAAAGTGTTTTGTGTCTTTTTGCAACCATGTGCTTAATGGAGTCTTGTGTCTGTCCTGGGAGATAATTGAATTACTCTCCAGGATAGAAGACTCTGAAACTGGTTTGGGCCAGAAAGCCATGCTTCATTTAGTCACAAAGGACTTTCCCTTAACTTTTGAACCCCTGGTCTGATTCGTGCCATTTTTAAATATGTTGTTCCCCTGAATGGATTGATTATGAAAATGTATGATTTATGTTTGTGACATGTATATTTTAGAAGTTATAAATATTGTGTAAAAACTGTATTCCTCTGCCGGTGATAATGAGATTACCCATTGTGTTCAGTAATCATATCACCTGCAGAGGGGAGGATTTTGTGTGGGAGTGTCTGGGTGTATTGTACGGATTGATTGGTTGTTTTGTAACGCCCTGTGGGCTGTACTATGTTTGTGGATTGGGAATAAAAGAGACTGTATGTGACAGTACAGGGAGTTCCTGTTTTAACCCTCAAAGTGAAGTGTCGTCTCATTATTGGGGGAAGGATTCATTGTATGCTGTTCCAGTTTGACTGCTAGGAGAGTAAACCTATTCGTATGGTTCCTATTCAACTGTCTACAGCATTCATATGCTTGGGAGGATTTATTTGTTTCTCTGGTTCGGTGATTGTGGTGTCTGCTGCAGTGCTTGGAGTCCTCAGGAAGCGCTAGGAGCATCCTTCAACGGAGGTACCCAGTCGGGGTGCCAGGTGATCCGTTACACCATGCGAATAGGTTTACACTCCTAGCAGTCAAACTGGAACAGCATACAATAAATCCTCCCCCAATAATGAGGCGACACTTCACTTTGAGGGTGAAGCAGGAACTCTTGTGCTGGCACACCCAGCCTGGTTTTTATTACAGCCTTTCACATACAGGACTGCCCACAGGGAGGTATAAAACAACCAATCACATATCAGTTACATCCCACATATTCCCTCCCCTTATCCTGAGAGGAAACTCAATTACACATACAGTTAAAACATACTTTCTACCCAACTTTCATAACTCTAAAACCATACATCACATTCACATAAAATTACATATTCACAATCAATCCATTCAGGGGAACAACTTATTAAAAAATGGCATGAATCCGACCAGGGGTTCAAAAGTTAGTAAAAGTATCTTTTGGGCCCTGGCTGGCACATGGATATCTGGCTCAAACAGGTTTTACAGAGCCCTCTATCCTGGAGACAATGGAGAAAGTAATCCAATTATCCAGGGACAGAGGGGCAGACTCCATTGAGCACATGGTTGCAAAAAGACATAAAACACTTTAAAATACCTAAAGTCACCTTTTACACATAACACACAGACATTTCACATATCCCCAGATAGCTGGGATCTGAGCGCACAAAACTACCGAATAGCGCTCAGATCCTATTCACACAATTCCATTGCCATGGAGCCGAAGTCTTTAACTACACGAATGGGCTCCATGGCATAGCTATCTGGGTTAACACATTCACATAAAGTCTGGTCCATAGTCCAAAGGCAAGCAGCCCCCTCCAAGGACACGTGGCGAGGCCGGTTTCACCACACTCCAACCACACACTTAGAAGCAACACTCTCCAGAATATCTCCAACCACACACTTAGAAGCAACACTTAGATGAAGCAACCAAGCTATATTAGCCAAGCTAATGACAACAACCCTTATATAACTCCTAAAATCACCACCCACTAGGAATGTTTAACACCTGGGTAGGCCTCTGCTTATTTGCAAACAATAGCTAATTTAAACAGCAATCAATAGCAAGTAGCTAACTAATCAAATCAAATGCCTTATAATTACCAACAGAAATTCAAACCTTGTGCAATCAGTAACCTTTTCCTACAGATTAATCTTTCCTGTAACAGTAGAAAAGAAAACTCTTAGCACAACTCTTAGACAGTTGAAGCTTCTGTAAAACTCTCCAGAATATCTCCAACCACACATTTAGAAGCAACACTTAGATGAAGCAACCAAGCTAAAAATCAGTGCATAAAGGAAGGTTGTGCTGCTGTTCCTTTTGAATCCGCCGGTCCTGTGGTTTCTGGTCACGTGGGTGGAAGTTCGGCTGTCGGCGTCTGACGTCACTTCTGGGTTTTTTCGGCGCCCTTTGAGCCTGATATCCATGTTACAGTCGGTTTGCCCAATTGACGCAGAAGGTTCCCTATTATTTGTGGGCACTTATAGTAATATTGTAAACACGTTTATGTGGACTAATCAATGCATAATGCATCATACATATTACATACTAGTACCTACTAGTATGTAATATGTATGATGCATTATGCATTGATTGGTGGCAAAATGGTAATAGCCATACCAAAAAGAAAAAGAAAACAGTTACAGAGAACAAATATAAATCTTCATTATTTATCCCCTCAAAGAGGGAACCTATAGAAGACACAAAAAATAATAGTAAAACAAAGACACAGATGTATAGAATACATTCTTAAAGGTATATGGCCAAATGTAGTATATATATATATATATATATATATATGTGTGTGTATATATAATTGGTTAGGCATAGAGGAAATAGTACACAAGATGGTAATAAAATGGTCCAAGCCAAAAATAAAAATGAAAAGTACATATGTATATATGAAAAAAATAAAATACTTTGAAAAATATTTTATACAAAATGGACAAAAACTAAAAATCTAAGTTAAGACCATTAGGAGATAGAGTAGTTAACTCAAATATCCACCGACTTTCCAATTTGTTTATTTCTTTAAAATTATCCTTGCCTCTCCAATCTTTCTTCTTTTGAGCAATGACAGTGAAACTGATAAGTTGTGACATTGTGCAAAATGTGCAGAAACTCTATGTTTGACATACCCCCTCTGTATGTTGCCCAAGTGCTCCAGTATACATGTTTTGAAGGCTCTCGTGGTCATGCCCACATACTGTAGTCCACAAGGGCACCAGAGATGGTATACCACGTTTGTAGAGTGGCACGTAAGAATAGAATTAATCCTATATTCTTGCTTGGTGGATTTAGAAATAAATTTGGCCTGTGTGTCTTTTTTGAATTTAGTTCTTTTGCATGCCATACACATTTTGCAGGGATAAAAGCCGTAATTCTGGTTATTAACATTCATATCATCATTACTTTTAATATGATTTTTTACTAAAAAAGGGTTTGGAGATTCTTAGTACCCCTCTATACAATATTTTTTTTAATTTAATTTATTTTTATTGAGAAGTTTGGAATTAACAAAGAGTGATCATTTGGGGCATTTATTATAAGTCACATATCAAAGTATTAACAGGAATATGCAGTTCCAATACTTTTTAACAATTTAGTTCTAAACCACTTTGTCTTGTTGAATAGATCGCTCAGGGGTTTATGGGGGGGGGAGGGTGGAGGGTAAGGAGGAGGGGGGTTTAAACATAAACAGTAAACAAGAATGTTAGTTTCAGTAATAACAATATAATATATATAATATATAACAATAATAATATAATATAGTTAATATATGTAGAATATATAATATCTGACCAACTGACTACATGGTCGTGTTGACTGTGTATCTGACCTAGATTATTGACATCTTGTTTATTCCTTTATTTGTGTGTTTGAATTATTACTCACATATATGAGCCATAATATATAGTTAGTGGTGTGTACACTTGGCATTTGTTTTAATTTTAAATCTTAATTGATTATTCTATCTGTAGGTGTTGGGGAACACCATTCACACCCCACGACTGTGACCACATTGTGATTATACTGTGAAAGCGCTATTCACTTACATTCACTTACATTTCTTATCTTTGCAGTACTTAGTTGATTGCAAGGGGTATGGGTCTGCCGATTGTTCTTGGGTTCCGGCTACTGATATCCATAAATTCACTATTTCTGCAACAAGTTTCCTCTCAAGCCTGGTCCTGCTCACCCGGTGGGAGGTCTTCGAGTGGGGGGTACTGTCACTGACTCCGACATCTCTGCCGACGTGGCTGCACTCAAACATAACAGCCATGCCATCAGATATGTTTTTAACTTACCTGGAGCTCGGCAGGCAGCCACCCAGTCTCCCTCCATTCTGGTCCCCAGCTGTTGCGACATTCTTAAGAATGCTGGCTGCTGCGGACCGGACTTTTATAAAAAACTGTAACATATTCATCTTCACCTTGCGACATCAATAACAATTGCCTTGCCAACAAGTGCGGTAGTGATGTTCAGCGGCCATACATTGATATGTCTGACCCCTGCAGCATGTTAATGAACACTGGCCGCTGCGGATCTACATCAATTAGTAGCCCCGCGTCTGCCCACGGCATGGACAACGTCGGCGTGACATCACACAAAGGACTCGCACGCACGTACTAGGGTCAAAGGCCAGTTACGGCCAATTGGATACACAGGAGGTGCATTTAAGCTCATCTAATTCTTCAGCTCATTGCCCTGTCGTGGTTTCTCTTAGTGGTTGTCCGAGAGTGCGTTCCTATTTCTTGTTATTGACTTTGGCTTCGTTTGACTTCCCTGTATTCTGGTATCCTTGACTTTTGGCTTTCCCTCATCGTTGTGTCCCTTTCTGTGTTCCTGACCTCGGCAAGTATTCTGACTATTCTCTGGTATGTTAAGTCAGGCCATTCTAAGGCCTGGTAAGACGTTATCTAGTAGTCCTAGGTTGACAGTTCTATGTGCTGGATCAATTAGTAATCCTGACATTACGACATGGCCATAGATCCTCTAGAATTGTGTCAACACATAACAGCTTGCGAGAGAAAGCTAGAGGAGAATGATCAATTTGGATCAATTTGCTCAAGCATTCAGTACGCGGCTTAGTAGTACAGCACATCTTTTGCCCGAGGTTTCTCCAATAATGTCACCTCCGCCTAGCATACCTCCAATAGTACACAAGGCACCTACTATCTCCCTATGTCCTCCCTCACATTTTGATGGTAAAATTTAAAAATGCTGGGGATTCTTGAATCAAACTGAATACCACTTTGAGGCCTCACCGGGATCTTTTCCCTCGAAAAGAGCTAAGATTGGTTACCTAATGAACAAAATTAAAGGTAAAGCCTTAGCTCGGGCCAATACGTTATGGGAGAGTAATAGGAGTATTGAACACAATTACCAGGAATTCCTTGCTGAACTCAAATTAACATTCAAACCATTAGGCAATGTCACATATTCATCCGCACATAAAAATGTAATGGCATTTACTGACCTGACAGGAAAAGATGTGCCAAGCAACATTACTGTCCTGACAGGAAAAGTTGTGCCAAGCAACATTACCGTCTTGACAGGAAAAGTTGTGCCGAGCAACATTACTGTCCTGACAGGAAAAGTTGTGCCGAGCAACATTACTGTCCTGACAGGAAAACTTGTGTCAAGCAGCAATCATGCACTTGGAAACCTGGTAATTACTTTTGGGGTCAAAGGCCGGTCATGGCCAATCAAATCCCCAGGAAGGTTTGTGCTGAGCAGCAATCATGCACATAGAAACCTGGTAACTGCCTTTGGGGGTCAAAGACTGGTTACAGCCAATCGGATCCAGAGGAGGGGTACTTAAACGGAATTCTCCATTTGCTCATTGCCCTGTCGTGTTTCCTGATCTTGATTTTCTGGTATTTGACTTTGGCTTTGTTTTAACTTCCCTGATATCTGGTATCCTTGATTTTTGGCTTTCCCTCATCTTTTTGTCTGATTATGTGTCCCTGACCTCGGCAAGTGTTTTTACTATTCTTAGAGACGTTACGTCCGGCCATTCTAAGGTCCGGTTATACGTTATCCTTAGTCCTAGGTGTGACACATTGCTGCATGCTGGATAAACTTGTAATCCTGACAGGCAGGGAGGATGACGCCTCCACTGCCCTAATGCATATCAAACAAGGGAACCGGTCTATCAGATTATGCCATAGTATTTAGCATCTTGGCTTCTGAGGTAGACTGGACGAATAGCAGGTTAATCTCTACATTTAAAAAAAAAAAAAGATTATCCGAGGCAATTCTAGATGAGATTGCTGCCAAAGAACTACCCAAAAAATTAAATGAGTTTATCACATTTGTTATGCTAATTGATAATAGACTCAGAACCAGAAATAAAATCAGATGTATGGCTATGCCATGAGCACCTCAATTCTTCAGACCTATTGTTCCTGACCTCCCTGTACAGTCTTTGCAGTTAGGGGTCACTAGACTGTCTGAGACAGAAAAACAATATAGGAGAAGAGAGGGTCTATGCCTATACTGTGGTAAAAAAAGGACATATGAGGAGTACTTGTCCCATACGTCCAGAAAACTTCCGCACCTAAGAGGACAGGTCTTAGGTGTGATGGATACGTCCTCTGGAAATAACCAAAGTAGGTTTCTCCTTGATGTTATGGTCATGTGTAACAAAAATAACTTTTCATGCAAAGCCCTGATAGATTCAGGTGTGGCTTGAAATTTAATTGACATGCATTTTGTTAGAAAACACTTAATAACTAGCAAGGAGAGATCATCACCTCTGGCTGTGGAGGCTATTGACGGGAGACCTCTATCCCAACCCTTAATTACCCACAAAACCTTGCCCATTTATATCTCCATTGGTGCCCTAAACAAAGAAGACACAACACTCCAAACAATTGCATCCCCTTCTTGTCCCATCATATTGGGATTTCCTTGGCTTGTTAAGCACAATCCTCATATCAACTGGCCAAAGGGAGAAATATTGGAATGGGGCAAGGACTTTATTGGGAGATGTATGATGCACATAACCAAAAATCTGGGCATTGTTACCTTACCCACTAATACACCTAAAGCCCTCAAAGTTCCTATACAATACTGGGAGGTTAAGGAAGTATTTAGTAAGAGTCAGACCAATGTTCTACCATATGAACAGGCCATATGACTGTTCCATAAATCTGCTACCCAGCGCTATGCGACCAAAAAGGAGCAGTGTATGCCTTATCATACTCCATAAGAGTAAAATAATGGAAGACAATATCAAAGACTACCTAAATAAGGACCACATACGTAGACCATCCTCAACTCCTGGTGCAGGCTTCTTTTTTGTAGAAAAGAAAGATGGAGAGTTCCGTCCATGCATCAACTACAGAGCATTAATCAAGATTACCATTAAGAATGCCTATCCCATTCTTCTCATTTCTGAATTGTTTGACAGACTCCAGGGCGCTAAGATCTTTACTAAACTTGACCTCAGGAGTGCATACAATTTGGTAAGGATTAAGAAAAATAACAAGTGGAAGATGACTCTGTTTCAGAGGGCGTTTAGTAAACAGTTGGGCATTGAATTGTGTCACGACAGTGACCCCTTCACACAGAGTGTAACTCAGAGGAAGACGTTTACCGGACTTTAGAATGGCCGGGCTTACGTCAGAGAATAGTCAAAGGGAATAGTCAAAGGTCAAGGGAGTACAGAAGACGGACACACAAGATAAACCAAGCCAATAATACGGGAAACCAGAGAGCAGAATAGTCAGAGCCAAGAGTCAAATACCAAAAATCAGTCAGAAATATCAAGAGTGCTAGAGGGAATCAACAAGAACAACACTAGGGCACTGAACAAATGACAGGGCGCCTTTTTATAGTGTGGGATCTTTAGTTTTAAAACCATGCCCCCAAAAGGTCCGGGAGCGGGGCCACGTTTGAATTTTGGCAGTACTATTCCCGTCTCCTATTCTCTGGCACTTCCTGCCTCTTTATGTATTCCCAACACCTTTCATGTGTCCTTGCTTAAACCACGTATTTGCAATAGATACCCCAAAAGTGTTCCCCCGGTGGTTGTTTCTGGACAGGAGGAGTATAAGATCTCTTCCATAATCGATTACAAATTTTCTCATGGTTCATTGCAGTATTTGGTAGATTGGAGGGGATATGGGTCTACCGAGCGTTCTTGGTTTCCTGATTCTGACATTCATGCTAGCCACAATGTACGCTCTTTTCACACCACGTTTCCTCTCAAGCCTGGTCCTGCCCGCCCGATGGGTGGTCTTCAGTTGGGGGGTAATGCAACATATTCATCTTCACCTTGCAACATTAATAACAATTGCCTTGTCAACAAGTGCGGTAGTGCCGTTCAGCGGTCAAGCTTTAATATGTCTGACCCCTGCAGCATGTTAATGGACACTGGCCACTGCAAATCTATATCAATTAGTAGCCCCACGTCCGCCCATGGCATGGGGAAAGTCGGCATGTGTGTGATGTCACGCAAAGGACATGCACACATGTTCTGGGGTCAAAGGTTGGATCCACAGGAGGGGTATTTAAGCTCATCTAATTCTTCCACTCATTGCCCTGTCGTGGTTTCCCTTAGTGGTTGTCCGAGAGTGCATTCCTGATAGTTTATTTCTGGTTATTGACTTTGGCTTTGTTTAACTTCCTTGTATTTTGGTATCCTTGAATTTTGGCTTTCCCTCATCATTGTGTCCCTTTCTGTGTTCCTGACCTCGGCAAGTATTCAGACTATTCTCTGGTACGTTAAGTCCGGCCATTCTAAGGCCCGATAAAACGTTACCTATTAGTCCTAGATGTGACACAGTTCTACGTGCTGGATCAACTAGTAATCCTGACAAAACCTTCGCCCATGTAAAAAAAGGCGCCAATGTGCGTGCAGCGTCACGTCATAGACAGGCACACACATTTTGGGGTCAGAGGGCAAAGAGCCAATTACAGACATAGGAGGGTTATTTAAACCCAAATTACCTTTTTGTCAGTGCCCTGTCATGGTTTCCACTAGCTGATTATGCAAGAGTGTGTTCCTGATTACATTTATAAATGATCTGCCTAATGTCTGCAAATCTTCAAATGTACACATGTACACAGACAACACCGTAATCTATGCGAGCAAATCCGATCTACTGCAGCTTGAGACTGTGCTCCAAGACCAGTTCACAGAGGTAGAAAAGTGGATCACAAAAAAACTCACTCTTCCAAAACAGTCACAATGATCTTTGGAACAGTACCTAATTACCCAATTCCCACCTATCCATCAAAACTAATTCAAATAGCACAATGACCGCAGTCCACTCT